GACAACACGACCGAACGATGCAGTGCTTGTTAACTGTTCTGTTGAGGGCCACAGTCTGTTTGTTCTGAATTTGTTCTGAATTTGTTCGCCTTGGTCGAGTCAAACAATGGATCTTGCTTGGCCTTGTGAAAACGACGCGTCATCTTCGATTCAAACAACAGTCATATTCACGCAACTTGATGCCGACAATGGCATTGACAACATCATCGACAAGCTGTATGTCGACGTGGTGGAGGTAGCCGCGTTGTCCGTGCCAGTCGTGGTACCGCAAGCCGGGCATCAGCCTGTTTCGTCAGCTGCGCGTCAGGCACAGACTTGGGCTGAAGAGCGCCGTAGAAAAGCCCGTGGGCAATGATCAGCCCTCTAATTGTGCTACACTTTCCAAGCCACTGGCGCCATGACACAGCTCAAACGATCATTGCAGCGTTGGCCGAGACAGCACGGATCGGAGGCCTTTAGATCTCGAAGGCGGGGCGGCTGCTGCTTTGAGCGGCAAAGAAGCCACGTAATCGCGTCTATCTCGCTCGCCAGCCAGTTGCGTGGTCCAGAAAAGGCTGTGAATTGAACGCGAGAACACGCTCACGATGATCGTGCGCTCAGTGCTTCTTTTTGTCTTTTTGTGCTCGCGCTATGGCGGTAATGGCGGCCCAGACTGTCTTGGCTGTTCTTGCAGTGGGGCTGATCACCAATACTTGAGGCGCCTCTAGCGAAGAGGATAAGGTCCTACAAGAGCGAGCACGAGGCCAATGAGGAGAGTGGACAAGGCATGTTAGACTCCCCGCGCTGCGACCAGTCGTTTGGCACTCATAGAGCCGCACCTCACGACATTGATTGACAATGATCCGTGCCTCACTGCTCGGGCTTGCCGACTGCCAAAGGGGTCAAAGATTTCTTACAGTGGTTGTCGGTTGCAGCGACAGGAAGAGCCCATGATTCACTGCTTGTTCCCTTTGGATATGCGCTGCAAAAAAAATAATTTGTCGGCCCGCTTGCCGTCAAAAATGCACATGCTGGCCGTGAGATGAGATTAATATGGCTGGAGGTGTCGAACCGGGTAGCCTACGAGCTTGGAACATTTTCTGGCTGCTATGGCAGACGGATTATAAAGGGACTGCTCACCGGCTGCCGTTTTGGACGTACATAGAGGAATAACATGTAAATGCGTTTTGTAGCGCTTTAGAGTTTGTTCGTACGACCGTTTTGACCTATTTTTAGACATCCTATCGACAAAAAACAAAAAAAAAAAGCTTGAACATGTCATAGCATGTGTTGCATTTTTCAGCCTGTTGCATTTTTCAGCCTCCTCTTCTGCTTTGCCCCTTCTTATCACCTCTCCGACATTGGTATGAATATCGGCATCAGCGGCTGTTTGACGTGTCTTGCTTTGAGTGTGGTGCTTGATCGCTTTGCTTGGTACGGGACTCTCATGGTCGGAGACTCTGTGGCGACGCGAGAGCATATATTATTTGGTTGAAAGCTTCGCTGCCTGCCCTCACTTTTTAGTAAGGCCACTGATCCCGCCTGACAGTCCACAGCGTGTGCTCGGGCAACCAAGTACACGCTGTCCTCGCAACTGTTACCAAAAGAGGTTGGTCTGAGGTGAGTTGCTTGGCGCAGAAAGGTAGGGAGAAGCAAGGCTACGCTGACCGGCTGCCGGTTTGAACGACATTATTGGGATGGTCAGGCGAGTTGGAGGCTCATGAGATCGTTGATGGATAAAGTACACGCAGAAACAAAAAGCGGATGTTGAAAGAGAGAGAGAGAGAGAGAGAGAGAGAGAGAGAGAGAGAGGGAGAGACAGTTACGATGAGTGGTGATGGAGAGGTCAGTTCGATACCTCCTACTACCTCTGTTACCCCTCTATCTTGTACATGATGATGCTGATGATGCCGTGCGTGTACGTAATGCCGATGAATCGTTCCACAGCATGGCTATACACCACTGCACTGGGCGTGCATTGAGGGCGATACCAAGATGATGGAGCTGTTGTTGAAGCACGGTGTTGATACTGAAGCCAAGGACAAGGTCAGTTCGGTCAAACAAACCTCCTACTACCTCTGTTACCCCTCTATCTTGTACATCATGATGCTGATGATGCCGTACGTGTACGTAATGCCGATGAATCGTTCCACAGCATGGCTATACACCACTGCACTGGGCGTGCATTGAGGGCGATACCGAGGTGGCGGGGTTGCTGATGAAGCACGGTGTTGATACTGAAGCCAAGGACAAGGTCAGTACAGAACTTTCCGCTATCCCTCTTTTGTCCCGTTTTTGTCCACTCTTCGTCGGTGCTCCCTGCATTTCATCTTGTTTCCTGCTTTATCTTCCGTTCGGGAAGAACTCATCTCTCATGTTGCCCAATGTTTATAATAATATAGAACGGCCGAACGCCTCTTCATGTAGCCTGCATTGTCTTGTCTGCCAGCCAAAAGAGTATCCATCAACTCCTGCGGCACGGTGCCGACCCGGATACGAGAGATCATGTAAGCACGATGCCGTATTTTTGAGCTGTTCTGCTGCACCTGCAATTGATACCAAATGTCCTGCTGTGGCAGACGGGAGCACGGCCCTTGGATCTGCTCGTTAGCTGGGCTCCCAACGAGCTGGAGGTGGGCCTTTGTTTATTTTCGGTACTGATTGCAGAGGTAAGCTTGCTTACCGATAAATCTGCTCTACTTCATAGCTGATTGAAGAGCTATTGCGTGCAACCCGTACTCCTTGCTCCTATCAAACTTCGGATTCCAATGGTGCGAACCTGTAGCCAATGTGATTGTCTATATCGTCTTGTTCTCATTGAATTTCAACGTGGCGCCAGTTCAAGGCTTGATTCATGGGGAGCAGGCCAGACGCTGGCGGTGCGCTGCTGTTGTTCTTTGTAGCGTCGGCTGGCGCGTGGATCCTCAATTGTTCAATATCCAAGATCTACAAACCCTTGGTGACCGCGTGGCTGCTCTAACGGCCGCCGCTCAAGCTGCACGTACAAATTGAAATTTGTGACGCTCGTGGTTGGCTTGTCGATCGCTATGCAAACAGAAATGAAGTCAAACGAGCAGAGCGGGCTTTGCTTGACATCTGAAGCAAAACAGTCTATCCACCGAAATAGCGTGTGTTAGCGTCAAATCCGATCACCTCTGGAGTTGGACACTCTCACTGCTTTTGCTTCCCTTCAGCAGCACCTGCTATTGGAGTGCAAGCATCGACCACCTGCCAGATCCCTCTGGAAGGATTGCATCAATGTACTCGACGATGTGCAGCTGCCGCCGCCCGTCGAGGAACCCTCTCGTACACTCTGGGTGTGTTTAGCCACCAGATTATAAGTACGGTCCCGCTGACCGTGAGTGGCATTTTCTTTTGGATATTTCCCTTTCTGTTTTCTATCGTTCTCTCCTGTGAGAGAAGTGCAATTGAACCTCTTTACTGTCTCAGCTCAAATCGTCTTTCAATACCTGCTATGGGTCTGACCCCATCGTTTCCGCACAAGCCCAACACACACTGAAACACATGAGTAACACCACGTGCTCCGCAATCCTCGCATACCTTGGCCGACTGCTATGCGTAATAGGTTTGTAAAGATTATTGTCTCTTCTTGTTGACACGCCTGTTGTAGAGCACGAGTCGCACTTTCCTTATCCTTGGGATTGAGCGACTTTGAGCAGTTCTAACGGTGCGCCTGGTCTGGTCACTGTGACTGCTTGTCAATCGCAGCCGGTTTTATCGACCTCAAGACAGCAACAAAGCTCTCTATCCATCCCGACGGACGTCGCACAACCCTTCCAAACTGCTTCCTCAACTCTTACGCGCTTTCTCACAACCAAAACTGGTCTCCACCCGCCGTGGAGGTTGACAGCGTGGATAGGCACATCGTCTCTCTATTTGCCATTAACAGCAACTGATGACAATGGTGCGTCTCAGGTAGCGGCGGCTGTGGCGCTGCGCAAGCTCGTGACGAGGGCGTTGAGCGGCGGTCTTGTGATGCGAGCAATCGGTACCGTTTATACTGGGATGTTGTGGCGATTGAATGCAGTAGATATGTGTCTGCTTGCCAGGATGATTTGTGTCTTTGCAGGTCAGCTTGCGCGGTGTCTGTGTGTGTTGGCACGAACTTGTAAAGCTATACTGCTCCGACATCCCCTTCAAAAAAATGCGGTGGTGAGGGGCTAGCCCGCGTTTTTCTTTCTTCATATGATTGTTAAGGTGAGTTTAGACTTGTTTGGGGTAGTTGCGTTCGCTGGCCACAAGCGTGGATAAAACTGCGTCGTCAGCAGCGGGAAAGCGGAAATCAAGCCTGCAGAACGCCGTCCAGGCCAAGTCTATCGAACCATCCAGGCCGTGACCAAGCGGTTTCTTGGAACCAGCATCACTGTCACCGCATGGCGGCACATGAGCGTGGCTTGGCTGCGTACACTGCTGCTGCATCATACGCTCGAGCCTTCATTGGGGGCGCTAGATGTGGCTCACTCTCAAAGCCAGCATGCAGGCAAGACGGCACGCAACGTCTATGGCCGCAGGCAGCTCGATCACAAGTTGGTGTCAAGCGAAGCACAGTATGGCCATCAGTTTGTGTCTGAGGAATGGCACAAGCTCATGAAGCTGGTAGACGTAGAGGATCAGATCCAAGCCGAGGCCGTGGATGGGCAGACCTGCGTGCAACAAGTGGTTCATAAACAGGTGGTCATCCAGTCGTCTCGGGTCAGAAACGTCAGCACACAGGTGCAAGCAACCGTGGGCACGCAAACAGATCCCGAGGTTGAAGCCTGCCTTGATGCTGAGGATGACATTGACGATATCATTGCCGGGTTGGATCTAGACGAAGCCGAGGCAGCCGAATCGTCCATGCCAGTTGCCGTTCCGCGAGCCG